TGTTTTGTAGACTGATTCCTATACCTCAGCAACAACATTTAATATGGGCTACAGCTTTATAGCAATACTTAACAAGGTAACAATCACCAGATTATTCAGGTGTATACAATTCATTATCAAAATAGTCTTGGCAGTCTTAACAATTTCTTTTTTTGATAAATTGTTTAAGTCACTATTTTGGACTATTTCTTCACTAGTGGAAAAAGAAGCAAGACAACAAAAGCATCTCACTATTTAGTACCAACAATCAATATCTGGCATTAGAATCATATTACAAGCCACTTTTTCTGAACATTATTATTTCTCCTACTAGATTGAGAGAAGCAAGACAAAAGCTGCATGATCAGCTATCCTGCAGCAACCAGAAATGTGAGGGTCAACTAATTAATGAACCACAAAAATGCATCAATTCTAAACTTCTGAAGAATTTTATCCATCAAGCGGGTTAGCATTCAGTGTACTCCGTGGTCCGATCCCTCCATAGCTTTTGTTATCACAGTACATCTCCATGAACACTGACCACAATTCTCATGTTGTTCTTCTACCAGCCATATATAAACAGTAAAATGCAGGCATGCACTTGGCTTTGACAAAATTTATATTTGGTATGGGGTGAGATGAGCAATAAACAGTCCCTTCTAAATGTCTCACAATTCACCAAAATGATGATCCAAGTCCTTATCAACCATAATTGATTATAGTGCAACTAAACTATCGTGTCTAACATGGGAATAAGAACATAGTGTAAATCCATAATGTCAACATAGGCACGATGATGAGGTATAAAAGACAAATACAGGAAACAAAAGCTTTATTCACCGTTGAGCTATTAAAAAACTCAGAAGCCTCTCTTTCCTATTTTTTTCCCTCATTTTTCTCTCCTGTTGAATAGTTCGTATTTAATCAAAATTTATGAGATATTTGAAGTTTCATATTGCAAAAGAGTCAAGCATTATATAGATTTGACATATTGTTAAGTCAATGATGAAGAGTTGGCATCATAAACAGTCACATTCAATCCTCATGAAGAAAGTCATTTGATTCATTTAGTTTTTAGCATGTAAGAATTCTAGAGTGAAAAACAATCGAAGAAGCTAATAATAATTTATAGGCCCCGTGCCATACTAAAGAATGAGCCAAGTTTTCTTGACCATTGATGTTGGTCAAACCATCTGAATGGTCTTTTTTGCATCAGACCAATTTGTGCCATCTGGTATGTGGCATCATGCATGGGCATTTAAGTGGGAACTACAAACCACAGATCAAAATTCACAGACTTCTCCAATTAACTTCAACCTGATATCAAATATCATGAAGTGCTACTAAATTTGACTTACTATGGAAAAACTCAAAAAAGCTAAGTTGCTCCATATAATGCTTACCAGATAAGTTATAAAACAAATTCTCTCATCTTTCCTTGATCTCAATGTCATTAACAAGAACTTTTAATGTTCATCTTTTATGCATCTATTCCTATCCAAGTGTTTGGTCTTAACTTTTCCCAACTTTAGCAGATAAATGGCTTTTCTCCCATCTTTGACGCTTATCTTGCTATAAGCACTATATAAACATTATACAGTCATACTAATAGCTTTCTTGTCCTTTTTAGAAACTATATATCACCTAAATTTTCACTTTCACAGGTTTGACCATTTTTACAGGACTACTTGTGTGTGTGTTTCTTTTGACTTCATTATAGCAGCATCAATTCTCCCTAAATGCAGTACTCCTCCAACTCTCCAAGAACGTTTGCCGCTGCTTTAATTTAACTAACCATCAAAGGCCACATGACATCATCGACTTGAACATGATCATATTAAAGAAACCTCAAAATTTATAATCGTGATGGTTGATAAACAAAAACAGAAATATTCAAACAAGAAAACTAAAATAAGTAATAGAAAAAATAAAACAAGAAGCACATCAAAAGATAAAAGAATTAGAATGAGACGTTTCTCTAACATTTACAAGAATTAGAATGAGAGGCTTCTCTTACATTTACAAAATTTATAGTTATTCCCTGAATACATAGAAATGCATGGATGCAGACAAGACAATGTTCAACAAAAAATTAATTATCTGATGTTCCATCATTGCATACTTTGTGTTCAAAGGTGAAAGCATCGCTTGTCATTTTACATCCCTCAGAACAAAATCCTAGTCCATCACTTCTAGCATGGTGATACAATTCCAAATCCAAGAAAGAAAATTAATGATTGTTCTTGACATTTATTATCCTTTGCTAACTGAATTTTGCAATCAACCTACGTTCAATCATTGGTATTAGCAAAATCAAAGTACATATATATACAAATATCAGATGTCTCATATCAACTGTCAAAGGAATCTAATATAACGAAGCTTATAAAGAAAAGACCTTCTAAACCAACACTTCAAAGTAGTTGAAATATTTCATAGCAAATATAATATGATAAGGCACACAGCATCAAGAGCCTTAAGGGCATCAAGCTTAAACAGAAGAGAAAAGTACACCCTAAAAGTCTTCTAAAAGTTCTGTTGGATTACAAAGCATAATCAGGACTTACCAGGAAAGAAGGCTTGGATTTGTCCACAGTGGTCACTCTTGATTACCAAACTTCTTTTTATCTTTCAAGATGGTGGTCCTTATCCCTTGTAGCAAGAGGATTACGGTATAGCAGAATCCGCAAACAATAAGAAACTCTTAGAAAGCATGCAACAAAAAATCCAATGTCTCATATATAGCTCCCAGAAATTACAGCTTTCGAACGAACCACTAATAGACTAAGTTATGCTCCACAATTCACGAACAAGTCCTAAGCCTGCACTTAAATTGTGGAACAAGGGCAATTGTCATATTTAACACAACTTAGTATCATTGCCAACCAGAAAATACATAATTATAAGTCGTTGATCAGATGATAAAGGCCCATTGTCAAAGAATCCATAAATTTTCCATAATTTTGGAAACCATAGGTTATGTTTCTTGAGCAAGTGAACGTAAATCCAAATAACCTGACCGATGGCGTGGTTTTTTAAAGAAGGCACTGAAAAGTTCTACGAAAAAAATGTTTTTTTTTTTAACTTTACAGAATCTGCCAGATACAAAAATATTTTCACGTGTTTGGGAAAATCATGAAATAAACCCATTCCATAAGAAATGGGTTCCAATCCCGACGCCTTACCATAACCAGATCCAAAACTGCCCAAAATTCGACTCTTTACCCCCGATCCGAGACATCGCAACCTCATCCATCCCACAGCTCCAATTCCTTCTAAACCCAAAACAAACCCTAACCGATCGGACGCCACCATGATCAATTCCCACGACCCGATCATGATCCAGGTTGCAAGCAGAGAAACGCTTTAAATCCGATCCCGATAAACCGATCGGAGAACGATCAAGAAGAAAGAAAGAATCGTTTTTGTCTCAGGGTAAGGGGAAAAAAGCAAACCAGAAGAGAAGAAATCAAAGAAAATTGCGCAAGAGAAAAAGACAAAGAAAACGAAGGTCTGGATGTTACAGCGGTATTCGAGATGGTCTTGCCAGGAAATCTGCAATCAAATCCAGGACAAATCCCTTCTTTTCCTTACTACCAATTCCTTTTCTTTTTCCGATCGTTCTTTCAGACGCCTCCCTTCTCTTTATCTGGCGACAATAGAGGGGGGTTTTGGCTTTAGTTTTGATTGGTTTCGTCTATCTTTCTTCTACCTCTTCTTTATATCGTAGGCAATGGCGAGAGAGAGAGAGAGAGAGAGAGAGAGAGAGAGAGAGAGGAAGAGGGCAATATAAATGGAGATTATTTAAGGCTTAGTGGTTCCCTTATCTTCTTAATTGTCTTTCTTTGTTTTGGTTTCAGTGCATGTCCAAAGTGTTTATAAGCAATAAAGTCTTTTCTTTGAATTTTTAGTTTAATATTAAAACTATATATATATATATATATATATATATATATATATATATATATATATATATATATTTCATTGGCATGCATTGTGTTTTGGTTTTCCATGAAAATAAATTATTTGTTTGCACCAATAAATGAAATGAAAAATCATATATTATGCTTGGAAGGTAGGAAATATTTTTGGATATTTCTCCCTTCCTAAAGAAATTGTTAAATAATAGTGGACAAAAGTGAACAATTCTTATTTTAATTGTGTTAATATATATATTAATATATATATATATAATGGAATATGTTCCAAAGAATTAAGTACTGGATAATATTAAATTCTAACTTTTTGAGCGAATATTACTAGCTTTGATTTAGTTTAAAATGTTCCAAACATGTTGATTTGACTCAAACCTCAAAAAAATAATTTTTTTGGATTTACAGTGCTCTAGATGGAATATTAATTGGAAAAAAAAACTTGAAATTAGAATAAAATAGTAAAAGTCGGTATCCTAAATTCATCTATTTTTCCATCTAAACTCATTCCAAATCACATAAAATGGATCCAAAATAAATTTAAGAGGGTCTAGCAAATTTGGATACCCGAAAACATCCAACTCGAGGTCATCGCCAGCCCCTCCAATCCAAGACGAAGTAGCGTGTCATTACAAAACTTCATTCCTTAATTGGAGAGTACGTAAGTTCATAACTCATAAGGTGGTAAGCTACCACGACAAGAAAGCATGGTGACTTCGTCGCAGCCAAAATTTGGTGTTTGGACAAAACACTTACTTCGAGTGGAATCTTTCGTGACGGCTCGCGTTTCCGAGGACTTGCGGCCGTCAACCTGAAAGGAAGGCGAACGAGAAGCCTCGTGTATTGCGTGCAGGTTTCAAACGAGCATCCAAGCCAACCTTGCAATCCAAAAAATACCATGACAGATAACTTCAATTGACTTGTTGAATGTAGAGGAAAAGTATGATGGGTTATTAGATATATAACAAAGTTTGATACGGTTCAACAACCAAAGACCTGTATTGGATGGGAAAGCATGCTCAAATTTGGCCATCATTGCCATAAAAACTATTTGACAAGTAGTTGTTCCAAACCAACATACAAACAACCATGGAGTGTTGAGACCTTTTTAATCTGATCGGATCCATAGTTGGGAAGTCTTTAATCGTGAAGAATCAAAATAGAGAATAGGAGGCATCAGACCTCGGCCAATTGACCTAAGACACGAAACCCCTTCGTCCTATACATGAACCAAGTTACACAACAACATCGAAAAGATGGTTGATGTTCATCTAATAATGTTTAGCGTGACCTCCGATATTCCACCTCTATATGCAGTGTTGAATTTACAAAATCAACAGGTCAGAAAGAAACACACGTATGAACGGTCAATGATGTTTGTCATCTGGATCTCCCGTCTCGATTGAGGTTCTCCCAGCTGATCTCTTGCGAGCATTCTCCACAGACCGTGCTGAATCCGGGCTTGATGCCCTGGCTTCTCAAAGTTAGCAAGTGGGCTAGGTTGGTGCATTTCCTCTGCTTGACAGGGCGGCTCCTTGAACTGCCCTTGGTTTGTTGGGAAACAATGATTTCCGGCGGCGTATTACTGTTAGCAACTCGATCACCGTCATCAAGCGTGGTTCTGTGAACTTCCTCCCACTCCAACGATCTCCGATAAGTTTGCCAGGCCATGTCTTGTTCCTCTTTGGATAATCTCTCTGCCTCATTCTCCTGTAAAAGGGTTTCGTGTTCGTGGTAATTCGCAATCCAGCTGTCAGCACAAAAATCAAATCAGATTCCTGTCATCAAAAAGATTTTATGAAGATCTAGAACTGTGTATTGGGATTGATAAAATTGTATTTAATTCAAACTTCCTTGAAATTATAGGTGTTTCAAGGATAGTCATGTCGATCTGGAACACAATTCGAACATGCATGTGGGGAAGCTGAAAAAAAGGATAATAAGAACAATTTAACCGTTTAGTTAGAAAACATGAGAAAAGCATCTACCGAGGATAATGTCTTCTAAGTAAGTTTTCCATGAGCTTGTCAGCGGTGTTAAAAGGCAGGCATTCGTGATTCCCCAAACAGCCAACCTCATTGGTTTCATCATGACTAGATGTCATTGGATTTCTATGGTCCTGCTCAAGCATGTCTGCATTTTCATCATCACCAAAGTCAAAGAGGTGCAGTATCTCCTCCTTGGACATTGTTCTATGTATTTGTTGTCTGTCCACCACCCTTGCTGCAAGTCCTTCCTTAGTAACCTGTTGATGGTCTAACTGCTTCAGTCATCATATGTAAACCTTTTGAACTTTCTCCAGGTACAAAAAGAAAAAACCTTAACATCTATAAATCCAAATTTACCTGCCGCTTATATATCTTTTCTTCCATGGTTCCATGTGCCATCAAGCGGTAAGCATAGACAGGTTTGGTTTGCCCATACCTGCAAGAAGTGACATAAAAGATAACAAAACCAATGACACTATTAAGAAGAGGCATTGGAATTATTAGTTGTAGTCATGCCTCCAAACCCGATATATTGCCTGCAGGTCATAGGTTGGATTCCATGAACCATCAACAACAATAACACGATTAGCAGCATAAAGGTTAATGCCCAGTGACCCAGCACGTGTAGATATCAAGGTGCATTTCACTCGCTTATTTGTGGGTTCGTTAAATCTCTCTACCAGCTTCTGCCTTTCAGAACTCTGTGTACTACCATCCAGCCTGTACATAAGTAATCTAACTTTAGAACAAGTATAGAATGGTTCTGGAATTTGTATTAAAAGGGGCTTGATCATCCACAACCAAAGAACAGAATTCTTATAGAAGTAACACAACATGATTAACCATGGCACATCTTAAAAGCAATGAACTCATTAAGGAAATCTGGGTTCTCAAGATTTCTTCCCTAACACATAGTTCATAGTTGTTTATATGTTTTGCATGTCTAAGACATAAGGCTTTCTGGTTTTAAAACTGCCTAATTGGACAAACTAGAATCCATTTATTAACTGACAAAGACAGACCTTTTCTACTCTCATTTGGTATAGCATCTAGACTTTCATATGAATTATTGAATGCCATACAGAATGCCTCTACAGTAGGATCCAAATATGAAGCTGTTCGCTTTTACAGACTTTGGTTTGTGCCTAAAGAAAATTCTTTGCCTCTTATAGAATTATGATAATATTGCAAAGTAGGGGATGTTCGTTGAAATTGTATAAATAATTGATGGAATTAAGAAATCTCAAGGGAGAAAAGAAACAAGTTCTTCGTCCATTTTGCCAGTTGGTGCCAAATCAAGCAAACTCAAATCTCATGGGATCCCTAAAAAAGAATGTAAGTTCTTTGCCTATTTTTCCAGTTGGTGCCAAATCAAGCAAACTTCATCTGAACATTTTATGAGTTTGAACGTTTATTACCAAAATTTAAGATTATCTTATCAAAAGCTTGCCAAATGAAACCAAAGGATATGCACAATAAGGCTAATTTATGTCAAGAAGATGTTTCAGAAGTCAGAAAGAAAGAAACTGAGACTCAAAAGTAGAACATCAGAGCCACGGATGGATATCACCTGCCTAAGGGAGCACTAATATTAATGGGATTATTGCATTTTTCATGCTACATATAGATAATAACAAGAAGCCATAAGGTCCCAATTGGATACGGATACATGGATTGATTTTCATGCTACATGAATTTTAAGAAAGACACCTCAATAGCTTGACGAACATAAAGGACCATGGAGAAGAATGGCAAAGAAATAATAATGGTAAGAAGAATATAAGATGAAACTATTGGGTTACAGCATTTATCTACCTCTCTTCATTGAAATGCTATCATTTGATAAAAAGAACTTCTAAATTCCAAATACGGAATCCAATAAATAACTTATATCATACCTATACCAATCCTTGCCTTGCTTCCAGAACTTGCCTTCACTTTCTTTGCGTGGCAGTTTTGACAGAAACATCTCTATTAAATCTAGTGTTGTCAAGCTTTGGCTGAAAACTAATACCTTGTCACCTACTTCAGAACTCATGGTGAGGATATCAAGTAGCAAAACCATTTTACCACTGTAATCAACTTCTTGGTAAATCTTTTCACCAAGAAGATCTGTCCACCAATCAGTTTCCTGCAAGCAGTAAATTCTTTGAGCAATACATTAAACGTGCAAAATGATGCATATGAAAGATTCAAACCTTATTTATCTAATAAAATGCATCTCCACATCCCCTTCATGATGTAAAGTTAAATTCAAATTTTACAATTAACAACTTAATGTTTCTGACTTTCATCACTCTCAAAAGCATATATTTTCAAAAAGAAAAGAAAGAAAAAGAACTGCAATTTGAAAGGCAAGATCAATAACTGAAAAGAACAAGAAGATATGTTTTACTTGTAAACGAGAGAACATATGAAAATTTTTCTCAGTCAACAGTAAATTATTATCAAAACATTTTTAAAATTAGCAATCTATTATAGAATGCTTTGTGAAAATTATAAAATAAGATCCATCGGTTGACTTGCACAGGAGGTGGATTAAAGTTCAACTGTACCTGATGGTAAAAGACTCCATCATTTCTCTTGTAAAATATATCATCCTTTGCCTTTTGTTTCTCTGTCCATATAACAGATGCTTCAGCTCTCATTAGAACTACTTAAACTATAAGGCTTACATAGAGCATAAAAATGTATTAAACACAGAAATTTAAACTGACAGACATGCACAGCGAAGAAAGAAGCATAGAAAACATCATCTCATACAAGGAAACAGTGGGTCCATGTATTGCTCCAATCACCATCCTTTCTGTATTGTATTCCTAAATGTAACATCTTATAACTAAAAGAGATGATGCAAAATAAGTTAAATGCAGACACCCATATCATACAAAATAAGACAGCATGAAAACGATGACCATGAGAAGCTGTATTTACAACTATGAAGGGCCAGATTGCCAACCATTGAGGAAGTTTCCTGTTTACACAACTACCTAATCTACACGATGCCATACTTCAGCTTCTATTCAAATCCATCGACATGGCTAGACAGATCTACATACTAAATTTTCAATAACTATTTTTAGTTCCTTTTATCCTGTCTGAATCTGGGGTCAATAATAGTTTAGCCAAAGAAAATGGACAAAAGAAAACCTCTGAACATTGGATATTGCTAAAAAATTATGTAGTTCATGACTGACGACAAGAAGTAATGGGAGTTCAAGAATGGTATTTTTAGCACAAACTTTATCCTGAATTTATACAAATCTAGAGCTTATTCCTTTTTCTGTATGAACCTAACAAATGCTTTACTAGCGGCACATGCAGCACCCAAGTAAGATCATGATCTACGTACAGAGGGGTGTAAACAACCTGAACTCCAGCAAACAGCCCGAATTCACATTTGGCTCAACCAAACAAGGGTTCAGCCTTGGCTTTTCTGAACATGAGCTGCCCAAGCTCGGCTTGGTACGATGAGCATGCAAAGCTCAAGCACTCAGGACTTCGAGCCATGGTGGAAACCGAAACCAGAGCACAGATTCACAAAACAGTCCAGAAAATTGTTCCGAAATCCAAAAGGCCAATAATCACAAACAATAATGCATAAATCAATCACAATGAGAAAAGCTAAGGGAAAAATAATAGACATCAGGAAAAGGGAAGAGATCTTGGAGGAGCCAAAACCATAGCTCCGCTGTTAATCTTATCTGCTACATGACCTTCAGCACCTTAAGATTGAAGACCTTGCACCCCTCATCTATGAAGTTCGAACTAGGATGGAGAGAGAGAGATTGCTAGAGAAGAGGAATGTGCAGAAGAGAGTTATGGAAGAGAATGAGGCCACTATAACAGGGAGAATGGTCTGAATGCCAGAATAAGGGTTTCAAAACCCTATATTGTATATCTATTAGGAAGCATCATGTATGATATCACAGACTTTGGGTGTAGATAAACAAGTGTGCAAACATAAATATACACAAACTTGAACTGGCCCTTGTTTGAGATCTCAATAAGGTTTCAAACATGATTTGGTTGCAAATGGGTCAAGCTGCTTATGAATGAACCAAATGGAGCCCAAGTTGTTTGTGAACAGCTAGCTTTGCTAACAACCTTATCTGCAACTCCTCCACTCCCAAACACAAGGGAAATTGGACAATGGACTCAATTCCATACAAAATATACTAGAATTGGTAGAATTAATGCTGCCACTAAAAGATGATCGGCAATATCAACAATGATTGTTTAACTATCCAAATCATAACTGAAGAGGATTTAAAAAGGCAACAAAATTAACATAAAAAGGAAAAAATCATCTCATGATTGTGTGTGAGAAAGAGAGAACAAAAGCTTAAATACTCATACTTGGATGTCATAGTATCTTTCATGCAACAAAGTTAGCTTAGAGTAATAGCTTTATCCTATAGTTGGTTGTTTAAAAGGAACGCTCTCCACCTCTAATTGGAAAAAGCTCCAACAGAAGGGTCATATCAAACCCAATGAATCTCTAAGTATCAAAGATAATTGGGCAGCTTCATGAGTTTTATGGTTAATGAAGAGAGTTGAAGAGGTTAGGGAGACTAAATACTCATGTTTCAACTAATCTTAGATGGAATGGGGGAAAGAAAGAAGTCACCAGTGGAGAGGACTCCGCCAAACAAGAGCAAACAAAACAAGAAGCACCATCTTTTCCACTCCATGAAGAGAATCTTAAAGAATGAATTCTGTTCTTAACGGCCAACCACATAATAAGTCCCATCCTTGAGATGACTAGGACATCCCAAATTGGTTCTGTTGTGACAAATGAACCAACTAGTAGCAATAAAGTGTTAGATGAAAATTTATAGAATAAAGCATCATAATGAAATCCAAAAAGATGACCAACACTTGATAAAACTGACTGATACTTTTGTCTTAATTTCACTCATAAATGAATGCGTCAAGAGAACCGGGGAAAACGAAAAAGAATAAATGGAGCCAGTACCAGTGGTACTATACCACCTCTAAGCATGAATTTAAATACTTGTCTATATTAATTGTACAGATCAAAATGTACCAGTTGAATGCAGGAACAGTATGCAGAATAACAAACCATATCATATCAACACTCATTTTCTGTTTATATTATTACTTAAAGGTATCAAGAATTTCCATTTCATGATATGAAGGCATTGATACGTGTTTAGCACTGGTCAACACACCCTTGCAACAGCCTATGGAGAAATATGTCAGCAACTATGATGTGTCAGCAGCATGTGCTGGTATCTTTTTGACAGTATGTTTCGGTGCACTCCTGCACTAGCCACCTGCACAACAATTTCTGAGTGGTATACTGTGATGTACTGACATATCATACCAGTCTGCAAATGAACCAATATACTACATGAAACAGTATTTATTTTTGTCTCTAAGACATAGAACTATGAAAACAACCTCATAAACTAAGGCCACTGTTAATACTTAAAATTCTCACTCTTAAATAATATAGACCACTAATGTTTTGTTTCTATTTTCTTGTTTATAGAAAATTGGTATTCATCAGTTTTTGGTTGGTACAAGACGTGACTATTAGATTATAGCTTCTCTTTGAATTTTGTTCCCTCATTAGAATTGTTAGCCACTACAGAATGCAATCCATTAATAAAAATTTCATATGCAAAAAGTATGTACTTCTTTTTAAAGGATTCCATAAGCACTTTGGAAAACAAAAAATAAATTTAAGGTTAGCAATCAAGAATGTTCCAAGCATTTACTTTATGAACAGTAAATCACAAACAATAACTAACGTTAAATGCAGCATAAATTTGCAATATTATGGTGCTTTAAATTTAAAGAGATAGTTATCACTGATGAAACATGGTTTGAGCCTTCAATTCAAACAAAGCCACATCAGCCAACTTAATCACACTACTGAACAGACAATAAACAATATATCTATAACATACTTCAAAGTCATAAGTAAACAAAAATGAATTTAAATGTCAAAAAATGGAAACATGAAATTCTACATATATATATATGATGGACTAAATACCTCCATTTGAGAAGTCATTTTCCATATTATCATCACTTGAGCCATCTTCCACCAAGAAGTTCTCAACAGCATCTTCTTGCCGTAAGTAATCCCTGTGTTCTTTAGCCACTTGCAAAAGACCAGGATGGTTCCATACCTACAAGCAAAACAAGAATCACTTAGTAGTAAGAATCAAGAACAATGCACATTGATGGATAAGCTGATCAATGTCTTAAAAGTCTTATTGCAAGATTGATTATACCTGAGCCAATGCTTGATAGTTAGCAAAGAAACACCGTGGTCTAATTGTTCTTTCAGAAGAAATTTTATCTCCCGTAAAACCGTGTACATCTAAGAACTTTCTATACAATTTTCTTTGCAAAGGAGAAAGTTTAACGGTAATAACAAAAACTGTTTTAGGAGGGAGATCCTTCTTCACAACATTCATGTCCATTCGCTGGACAAATCCTTTTAGTTGTTCATACAGAATGTGTGATCTTTGATTCATAATTCTCACATCATCAATGGTAGAATTAGTGTGCTGACCATTTTCTATTGGATTCTGGAACCTGCACCGAGACAAAGTTAGAACGAAGATCCTTCCCTGCTACTGAATATCTGATAACAATCAGAAATAAAACAAAGCATAGCAGAAAAAGTTTTACCGATTACGGAATTCATGACTGCTCCCAAGATATCCTTCCCTTACAAAATCAACCATCTGTTCAGAAATAATGTCACTAATGTGGTTAATGTAATAAAATTATCCCTGCTTTACAACGAGAAAGATAAGCTACTTACACAATAATATTCCATCAAATTGTTCTGCAAAGGTGATCCTGTCAAGGCAATTCTTCTTTGTGTCTTTACTTGTTTTAATGCTTGTGTTATATCAGCCCTTGTATTTTTAATCATGTGGGCCTCATCACAGACTAGAATGTCAGGCACATACTGAAAAAGAATTAGACAATGGTCATCATTACTACCAAAAAGATTGGATAAAATATAACAAAATACAAGCATAGTATTATAATGATCAACAAAAAGAGTACCATACTGCAATATCATTTAATTTCTCAACATGTTAACCAATATCTTTCACATATGCAAAAAGCCTTTATCAAAAGATGAAGATGAAGTAGAAAATAGTTGGTTAGGAGAATGTAAACTTAATATTTATCAGCACTTTGAGGCATAGAAATAGTAGTTTAAAAAAGAGCATGCCACAAACTCTTTGTACAAAGCATAGAAAAGATATTGAAACATTAGGAGTTTGGCATGATTTGTAAAAAGCATGTATCATAAAACCATTGTGAACTAGCTCTCAGCACCTTCTAAATGGTTCCTTCACTTCTTTCCTATAGTCAGTACAGTTTTGTGTTTAGCATTCAGCATGATAAATGATTTTCATGTGTTCTTAAAGCCTGTTCTTCGTCCCCCATGGCAACAAGGGACCTGACTTCATAATATTGTGATAAGAGAAGGAAATTTGGATTGGGCATCTAGCACAGGGACAAACAAGAACAATAGTGCGACCTCAAATTTTGCATTCAAAGGAAACATTATCCATCAGACCAATTAAAAATTGTTATATGATACCAGATATTTTTCGAGTATGGACCCAGCGACCCTAAACCTGCAACAGACGGAAGGCAACATACTAATCGGATATATGTGTCACACAAATTTAGAGAAATTAATCCAAAGAAAATGTGTTCCTTTTTTGTTCAGCAAAACAAAGGATCAAAAATAGCTTAATTTAGATAACAGTTAGATGAAAATTAACACTTTATACAGGATTCTTTTCAGCTAGCATTTAGCATTCCTTGTTTTTTAGCTTATTGATAACAAAGTTGGCAAATATAATAAGATGCACCCAATACAGCATTTCTCTGTAGCACGAGGACCAAATTTATATGTGGCATTTCTCAGTACTTGCACCCCATATATCATCCCTCTATAGACATGGACCAAAATAATGCAGCCTATACAGCATAATTGTACGGACTTAGTGATGCCACATAAACTAATAAGTGGTATACTGAGGGCGAGCCTGGTTTTTATTCAGGCTCATGGTAAGGACAAAATAGCAATTTTAGCTTAGTCCCAGATTTCAAGGCTTTGCATGATTTATATACACCAGTTCAGTGGGACACCAAGGGAAAGAAGTGGGAAGGTATGCTAGTGCTACACAGATGAAATATAATAACTCACTTATTTTTTAGATCTGATACACTGAGGGTGGGATTGGTTGCTCATCTGGTTTTGCATGATATTTTGCACCAGTGAATAACATAGTAAATTACCAAGTGAAGTGGGGACAAATAAGGAACAAGATACAGGAAAGAGTGCTTTATATATACTAGATGAAATTTAAAGAGAGAATTGAGAGGCTAGAGGGAAAAGTAAATTGTAAAATAAATGGAAAAGAGTGATTTGACAGGTCCTCAAATAGTGGAAGAGAGAATAAGAAAAAGTGATATAACCATTGACTATTAAGATTATTTTTGTTAAATCTTATCTCTTTAGAGTCTGTGTCAAGTCACCATTTGTTATCAGCATCCCACCCCCATTTTATATCTCTGCAAGATCAATTTTGCATAGGTCAACTAACATGGAAGATAAAAAATATGAGCTCAACAACACGACAGTCGGGGAGGTTAGTGGCAGATTTGACATATTCTGCCAAATTTTGTTAGTCATCTAAGGTGACAATTTGATTATTAATTAAAGGCAAGAAGAAAGCATCTGAAAATTGGACTTCTATACAATACAAGAACCCTTTTCTACAGAACTAGAATTAAAAAGCATATGGACCAGTTTCAATAAACAAAATTGCAGCTTGTTGGAGATCATGTTAACCAAGTCAGACCATATTTGTTATAAAAATAAAAAGTACTCTAATTTAAAATTTTTATATAGTATTAAAAAGTAACACAAGGATGAAGAGAACTGTAAGAAGTAATAAATGTTCAAAGTCCAATGACTTACATGTAAGGCATGACAAATTTCACTGGCTGTACTCCTATCCTTCACATGCCTTCCAAGGGACAAGTTCCGGAAAGCAGCATACCCTATTAGAAAAATTCCACCCTTGACTCTCCATTTTGAAAGTAAATCTGCTCTTCTTTCCCTAACCCAGAAGACACCAAAACTCAACTATAAGAAACAAGATATAAAAGAATCCACAAACTGCAACAGATATGACTTATTTAAGGGTGTATATACATATCATATATGCATCGAAAAAATGAGACATCAAGAGATCCACAATCTCTAACAACATAAAATAATTGAGGTCAAACATATGAATAAGAAACATGTATATTTATACACGTGCACGAGTCTAAATATAATAGCAAGTCTCCTGTAAGGTCGACCTTATATCAATTAAGTTTGTACAAACCTCATATATGCAAGATGAAAGACAAGATTTAAATTATTTGTATACAGGATATGAAAACAAAGAATCAAATCACTGTAACTTATCTACATCCTTTTAAAGTGTCTCTAATTCGAGAGTGGTTCTTATTGAGGTCTGTGCTCCCATCTAACCAGTCCAGAAATAAGCAATGTAAAATATATCATTGAGTTTTTTTTCCACCACTTGACAAATAAACAAATTTGTAGGATGAGGTATTGAACCCTCAATCTAAGGTGGGTGAATCAGGTATATCACCATCAGACTGGTCCCCTCATCCTACAAATTTCCCTGGAAATGCTAGCTAATTTAATTGGTGAAGTCCTTGATAGTTTATAACAGTTATTTAAACAGGCAGACCAGGCAGCGCGCTTCAATGAGGCGCCACTTGGGCGCTCACCCAAACCTAGGCGTTGGGAGCTTCAAGCGAGCACCCGATTCAATTAAGGGAACCAAACCAGTTTAAGTCTGGTTTAGTTCGTAGTTTCTTACCTAAAAAGTCACGCTTCACGCCCACGCAACCTCGAGGAACCCTAGCGCTGCTTCTACCCCCACCACCGACGCTTTCTGCCGCTGCCTCCGCCACAGACGCAACAGACCGAGCCTTCCTCTGTTGTCGACGGACGAGTCCAACGGCCCTCATAGCTTCCTTCTGTTGTCGCTTCCTTCCACTGTCGAGGGAGAGGACCGCAAGTTCACCACCGATGGACGCCCTCTAGAGCTTCCGTTTCACTACTGTCCGCAGTTTCCGCCATTGCCATTGTTGCTGTCTGTAGCTTTCACCGCCATCACTGCTACTGTCCGTAGCTTCCCTTGCTGCCGCTATTGCTGTCCACAGCTTCCACCGCTGTCGCTGCTATCGTTCGCGGTACTACCGCAACTATCTTAAACAAATCCTCCGCCACTGTTGCTATCTCCCTCTATTACTATTAAAAAAATTTTCTCCCCCTCTAACTTTAAGTAATATACTGTTAACAGTATATTTTTAATTTAATATCATATTTTTCTATTTAAATAATTATTTTTATAATTATATTTTAATATTTTAATATTTCAGAGAATATTTTTTTTCTCCCCCTCTAACTTAAGTAATATACTGTTAACAGTATATTTTTAATTTAATATCAAATTTTTTATTTAATTAATTATATTTTTAAATATATTATTTTTTATATTTTAATATTTCATAGCATCTCACTTCGCTCGGGCGAGCACCTAGCGCATAGCGCTTTTTAAATCACTGGTTTATAACAATATCTTGCGCTCAAACCCAACCTTCACCACTTACCCTTTGCAAAAAAAAAAATTTAATGCAATTGAAATCACATTATTTTTTTTCCTTTTTCTAAAACTTTTTTAATGTTAAACTCCCATCTTGATATCACAAAGTCATGAAAGAAGAAGAGGAATAAACATCATCTGTGGGTATAACTTGTCAAGTGACATTGTTCTTAACAGAAAGGTAATGTCCATGTTACACAAACATAACACTTCCCTAAAGAAAATAAAATTGAAGAAGCATGAACACCACTTACAAGTCAATAAAAGAATTCTAAGAAATAATAAAAACCTCACAAAGGTATTCATTTGCACATGCACATACATTCATAAGAAAGGGTGCACACAGAAAGATTGTCAAAGCACTTGAGATATGATACAAACAAATATTTAGAATCACATGAAGAAAATATAACTGAAGAAGAAGAAAAACCACAAGTTCCTAAAGAAGTTCCTAAAGTTAATCGTAAGCAACAGACACCCAATTTGCCCTCAGGCATTCATGCACACACATAATTGGGCGGGAGCAAACAAATATAAGATCGCCAAAACACTTGATGCAGCAACCACAAATATTTAAAACATAAATTGCTCCACCACTCGTGTTTTTATTAATACTCCTTTAGAAATATAATGTAATTTATTATATAATTACTAATCTTGCTATTGAATAATTGGGCAGCCAAACAATCTAACTAAATTCTTAATAAAAAATCTATAGCAAGCATTTTAGTTGCATCCAAAACCAAATAAATTCAGATAAAACCATGGTTCGTCTTACAGGTCCGTACCGACCAGCTGTCGATGTGATATGTATCAAGCCGTACCGAGCATACTAACACATGGTACATAAAAACATACCAACACATGATACATGGGAGTATACCGATGTACCACCCATATTGAGCGATACATTGTGGTACGACGAACCTTGGATAAAACAAATTGTTGTGGCAGGCTTTAGAAGCGTGTCGAACTCAAGTTGATAAATGATCAATTCATAGTCGGACTAGGCCCACTTATTTTCTAATGAGAACTTCTACTAGCCAACGGACTAGATAGTTCCAACAAGTTGACTTGAGCCAATATATTCTTTTTTCTAAAGGTCACTAAAAAAGTTGATATCATCGATTGTTAACAGAATTACAATAAAACAGTTGAATTGATTGTTAACAAAATTACAATAAAACAAATATTTTTCAGTTGATTATGTAAATAAAAGAAGTTCGTCAAAAGTAAAGGATGAAAGAAATCTCAGACCTTGCAACATCTTCCAACATGAACACACGAAGAGACTTTAACTCCGTTGGTCGCCACTTCACAAATTCTTGTCGCCAGTTATGAAGCACGTTAACAGGTGTAACAATAAGAGCTGTTCTTAAACCTAGATCAATTTTTCTCATAGCAGTGTACAAAAATGCAATAACCTGTGACAGAAATCAACAATTCACAGGAAAAATTAGCATGTAACAAGCAATGGAGACTACCAAAATATGTACGCGAAAGAAGTTCAAATCACCTAAAAAGCTGAATTAAGTATTATTCTGAATTTTTCTTACTGGTAAAGCGACAATTTTAGGAGCACATGTAAAATTACTTCAACCTCAAAAACACAAAAAAAAAGGCTCCAAGCCACGAACTACATGATCCACATTGCAAGTTCACTTAGGTGAAAAGAAAGCATCACAGAGGCTTATAACATATTAGTACTGCAACATCAGATGTTGATGGAGAAGAATAGATCTGGAAATTGCTTCAACTGTGCAAAAGAAATGAGGGAATAATTTAATGTAAAAATGAAGAGTTGAGACAGTTATGACCCACGGACCCATAATTAATACTATATTTGCAGAATATTCGCAATGAAAAGGGGTAGCAGCAGAGAGCCTCTAGGAACTTCTATGACCAGGGAGAGTTTACCCTGTTTGAAGAAACAAAAAAACCAACAATTTAAATTGGTAGGTTATCAAGTATACAAGGAAAAAAGCTCAGACCTGAAAAGTTTTCCCAAGGCCCATTGTGTGAGCTAAAATGCATCCAAGACCTATATCCCCAGATTTGACCTTTTTGACAGACTGTATAATGTTTTCCCACATAAATCGTATCCCAGCGATCTGCATCCACAATAAAACTATTCCACAATCAGAAACATAAAAAAGGAACAAAATAATTTCTACAAGATAATGCATATGATATACAGAACTTAGACCTGCTCATGCAACAACTATTATAAACTAAGACACTCGACCTCAATTTACAAAACTGAGTTTTGATAATCAAAACCAGGGTCAGGATCAGCCACCTATAAAATAACCTTAATTGGATTGGATAAGCTAGATTGGACGATATGGATTAGGCAATGGGGCAAACCTCAGCTAAAAGAATTGGATCCACAAAGAACATACAAAAGAACTCCTAAGAACCCGAAATGTATACAAAATCAGATAATTCAGAAAAGAACAAAGAAATAGAAAATCAGAAACATGATAGAAAAAGTTTTTTCTGAAAAAAAATCATCAGCACTTTTTGGAAACAACACAGGGAGATTGTCTCATCCTTCACCAAGACTGAGAAAGTAAAGAGAAATTCTTTCCCAGTTCCCTACTTTATCTTTGGCAGTGATCCGACCGAATTCTGAACCTAAGGTCCTCAACAGCCAAGACAGTGAGGAATGCTATGCAGCAGGTGATCCAAGGCAGAGTTCCAATGAGGCATAGTTGTGGCTAGATCTAATGAGGAAGCATTCTAAAAAAAGTTTCAAGATTGACAGAGCTCCTGCGACAATGCAGAGCAGACAGTGCCCTGACAAGGACCATTGATGGGACATAATGAGAAATCAAAAGAGGTCAGTTCTTTAACCTACTAGTTTTGGCCATTGCTTACCTCAATCCAGATTTAACCTTGCTTTGCATTGTCCATATTGAGAAAATTGTTACATTTTTCTTCCTAATTTGACTCCCAGTTCAGTGTCTACTAGACTAATATAAACACGGGTACGACAACAAAACATTAAAAACAGCAATGAAGTATTATATTTTTCTTTCCAGGATTATTCACAAATCAGTCCCAACAATATGGGCTAATTATTCATCAAATCTAGCATTATTACTATTTACAACCAAATATCACCGTACTTGAATTGTTTACACAGAGAGCTCCCTGGTAGCAGGGCATCAGCAGAATATGAACATTCAAGGAGTCTGATGTTTTCCTTATTTACTTTAGCCCATTGCAATATAATTGTCCATTCATTTTTCATACAAAAATAGAAAATATACAGTGAACAAAAGAAGAAATAATATAAAATTTTAAATTAATTTAAATAAACATATAAATGTCTTCAATAACTATGTATTTGATAATATCAATTTACAAGTCTGGTCAGGTTTAAGCAATCTATTAGATTAGAATCTATTGAAAGAAATGGTCAATTGAAATGTAATATTAAAAAGAATTAATGGCATTAGGTGGGATGGATCAATAGATAAGCTGATGCAGCTTTAAATGTGTAAATAATTTTTTTCTGTATAAGTACATATCGAAGAATCAATACTACTAAACTAAATGGAGCTAAAAACAAATAGCTAAAATTGCCAGTACCATGCAGTAATCTAAATATAACATAAATGAAATAGTTCATAAACAGCTCTAATTTTCAATGCCCATATTGTAAGAGAAAATGTTTACCAATTCCCAAATAAAGAGAATAATTACTTGAAAGTTGAAAATGGCAATCGACTCTGAGAGCACATACATAAAAGTTAAATGGGGAATTTTGTCACTCTATATCCATCATAAATGCACAAATCAACATGCAATAGTGAAGTACCTGCTCGAATTCCAACGCAAAATAAGATCCTTAAATGATGAAAAATGAGCAATCTATCAACTAACTTTTATTCAGTCAGGATTTAGTTTAATTAAGTCTATGACCAAAAGATATATTTATTTTAAAGCCTTAGTAGGAGAACAATCACAGATCATATCAACATGGACAAACATGCAATTCATAAAATTGAAAAAAATAAAAAAAGCATCATGCTAAGGCATTTTTTAACCTCAATCAGCTATTACAAATGGACGGCTAGGGGACTCAGAAGTTGTAGAGAATAGCATTGTTTGGTGTGTGTTAGCATATTGAAACTCACATATAAAAATGTGAGGTATTATTTTCCAAGAAAAATCAACGATAATATCTCTGGGATCTTATAGTTCATATGAAGAACAAAAACCCACAAGATAAGATAAAACATGAAGTACAACCTCAGATAGAGAAGTTAGAAAAATGAATTGACATAGCCAATGACAACATCCTATTAGAGATTTTTTTAAAAAAGATGCATTTGAAAAGGAAAAGAGACCTGGTGGGGCTTCAACTTTGCAGAAATGCTCTGTGGGATTCTCACAGGCTCCTCATCCTTCTCCCTTGCAATATTGACTATATAACCTTCAATTGCATCATCCAATGAAACTTCCCCTACACTTTCATTACTTCTGGTATTACAAAATTTACCAACAGATTGTGCTTGCATTGATTTAAGATGCTCCTGCCTAGCCTGCAAAAAAGGATATAGTAGTTGCTATGATTAAACTTGTTTGAGACCTCTCAAGAAGATTTTGTTCATATAAGTGGAAACCTTCTCCATTGCAATTTTTCTCCTGGTTTCTTCACCAAGTTCTGTATCATCTATAATTCTCCTAATCCTCTTCTTTCGTCTTTTTTTGTGGCTGAAAGACAAAGAATTACGATAGATTTAGTAAATGTTCAATTTCTAACAAGAGAAAAAAAATAAAGTTGCATAATAGCTTTGTTTAATATCAACAATTAATGTGACTTGTCATGTTAATTTGACTAGCACATACAGCCGAAACTTCTTCCACCTAAGTAGGGCAGAGGTAGAAGAAATTTGCTTAGTTGGTTGACATAATTTCATTTATTTTGTCAGCCTTCTGCAATTTCTAATCAATCAAGAACTCCAAGAAACTAAGAATTGGCATATATAATACAAATAGCATATCTCACAACACAATATATTTAGATTGCAGCTACTTAATAAAATTAATAGCAGGAAAGTACTAAATCACTATACTTCCAGATAAATAAGTTTGTTAATGTTACCCAAGTCTGACAACCATTTGACCATCTGAAAGCTCTGATTCACTCTCTGAGCTAGAAACCATGAACCCCTTAAGAGCTTTTTCACATTCTGAAATAAACTGATGCAACAGAACTGGTGAGCAGCAACAGCAGTCCCAACCATTTGTTTCAACATCCAAAAACCGTGTTTCACCAAAATTTCTTGCTATACACATAGCACAGAATAGCATCTTACATGATTTACACCTTATTAGGTCATCACACTTACCACACCATCTGCAGTAGACACCTAAATCAGGATCCTGCAACCAAGAAACATCAAATATTAAATCATTAAAGCATCTGAGGTACATAAATTTTCTTGCAACAGAACAAAATGACAAAGTTCATTTTCATACCAAAAAAAAATGTAAATTCTTTATCATAGAGAAAATGCAAATCAAGTCAACTTTTTTAAGAATAATTGTGTGTGACCTCTATAAAAGTACTTAACCCTGAAATGCATGCATGCAGAAATTTTTTCTATCACAAAATAAGAAATTAAAATATTGAAGTATTATGTGTGGCATAGCTCAATCGGGAATCACTATCAGTACCTCTATTCTCATTTTCTCTTCTATCAGAAGATTACATTTTGTACACACAATAACTTCCAGAGTTGGATGTCTTTGCACTTCAGAAGCTTTCAGCACTTCAGAACAAGCAGTACAATGAAACTTCTCAGGAATGTCCATAAGGCTGTCATTATTAGCTGGAGTAGGTGAAGAAAGGACATCACTATCTATAACATCAACAACTTCTCTAACTTGAGCTGTCAAACATTGATCTCTGATTAAATCATGTGATGGTGACTTATCATCAATCACTTGCACTTCATCGTCACTCTCTATGATGACTGTCCGATGCCTTTTATTGTCAAGTTCAACATCCTCGCTTTCACATGACCTCTTGATTGTGTCATTTTGAATTGGAATTTCATTCTTAGGTTTGTTAGGAATTTCAGGCTTCAAGTCTTCAGCAACAGCAACAGGATGATCAACATCAGCACCAGATGAGCTTGGGTCTCTAAAAATTAACTGAGACTCGTTTAATTGTGCCACACCATCCAATACGTCATTCTCAACAAGTTCCTGCATAATTTATAACTCAGGTTAAATCTTGCATGATATGTCATAGTCATGTTTACACAAAAGGATCAGCTTCACAAGGAAAGTTTTTGCATGATGGGAAAATTTTTGGCAAGAAGTCTTATCAGATAATTCATGTATACACCCACTTACTGGGTTATCAGATAAAGGCTCAAAAACACTAACAATATAAACAAGACTCAACCTGATATTTTCTTTTCCTCTTTCTCCTCTGTTTCAAACGACACTGCAGTTTCTTTGTAATCTTCACATCATCCTCCTCTCTCACCTGCAAACAAAAGAATTTTGTTTAATTTCAGAAAAATAACTAAGAATCACACAGCAAAAAAATATTAAAAACCTTGTACCACTTGTTCCTAGAAAAAAGTCATGCCAATTAATACATACATGGAGAGTTACTAAAATATCGAAGGTCAATCACATTCTCACAAAGAAAACTCGTCAGGTTATTTGGAAGGACAGTTAGGGAATGGAGACCCTGCGATGGGCTGGTTTCCTGATCTGTGTAGTCTGTCCTATGAGCACAATATTGAGTCTCAGCAAACACAAATGACTCATTACAAGATTTGCTGCACCATTTATATATATATATATATATATATATATAAATACCTTGGCGACGTCGTCTTCGTTTTCTTGCGATGTCGCCCGCCGTGGGAG